ATAGCAGGCATTTGGTGGCAGATATTTAAGGACTTATTTACAGGAGAACTGGAGAAATAATAAATACCACCCTTTCAATGAAATATTGATGCCAAAATAATCAGTTTAAATCAGTTTAAATCAATGTGAAATAGGTTTGTACTGCATTCCACTACTGTTGATCCCATAACCACGCTCAGCAAAGCAGGGTGTGTATACAGGGCTATGTTTGTACATGACTTGAAATGCCTCTGCTGCCAGCAAATAACAAAAGACAAGGTGATGAGAGAGTTCCTCTCCTGCTCTATTTTCACTTATTTTTGTGAAGATCAACCCTGTTACTGCCAACCTTTTCCAAATCAAATAGCTATGACTGAACTTCAAAGGATAAAAGTGAAAAGTGTGAGGCAAGAGAAAATATGCCCCTGGTTCAAGGCATTTGGAGAGTACAAAAAAGCACATATGGCATAGGATATTGGGGTATGTGATTTATCAATTTAACATTTAACAATGTTAAAAAAAAATCTACTTAAATACGAAGGAGAAAGAACACACTTTTCACATGTCAAATAACAAATAAAAAAGCAATCCATTATGATTCATCTTAAAAATTATTTTAACACTAGGCTGATATTACTCACTGAATGACAGTTCTTGATATATGTATACACAAAAATAAAGCAGACAGATGTAGTTCAAGCTTTTCCAGACTGAGTTGCACATTGCTCCTGCTCTTCAATCAGGAGAAGATGCCTGTGAGTACCTGTGACTTCTTAAACAGTGAGAGATAAACAGAAATTGAAGCCATTTCACCTGGGCAAATTCAACTATTTTTTATTAAAATATTTTTGACTAAAAGGTAGAAGTCCTTCAGAAATACAACTGTGAGTTCTGATTTCAAAACTGTAGTTTTGAAAGAGAGCACCACTTTGCTGTTGGTTTCTACCTTCAAGACTGCTACCACCAACACATTCCTTAGAAAGATTTCAAGCTACTGGAAAAAAAGATTTTCTCTGTTATCACAATGGTCCTCAATAGTTTATTGACTCAGTGTCCATGATTTTTTTATGTAAGATTGATCTCTCATGAGGAAGATTTCTTATCAGCCAATTACTCCATGAGTGTTTCTGTCCTTTCATAGAACCATAGAATAGTTTGAGTTGGAAGAGACCTTTTAGAGCTCATCTAGTCCAACCCTCCTGTGGTAAGCAGGGGCACATTCCACTAGACTGGGCTGCTCAAATCTCCATCCAACTTGGCCTTGAGCATTTCCAGGGACAGAGCATCCACAACTCCTCTGGGCAGTGTCCATGTACCTCACCACCCTCACCAGAAAGAATTTCTTCCTAATATCTGATCTAAACTTGCCCTCTTTTAGTTTAAAGCCATTCCCCCTTGTCTTACCCCTATGTGACCTTGACCTTGTAATCTATTTTAGGGGAATGCTTAAGATGCTGGGTTAATATTTCAACAATCAGGAACAACTATATTTAGTTATACCCACCACCTTTCTTCAGTTTCTGATGCATGTGCTGAAATACTGTCTAACTTCTGACTCATGTTCTGTTTATCTCAGAGAACACCTGATGAAGAGGAGAACTTCTCTTCAGATGGCTTTGCACTGCTTGTAAAAATACTTCGGTCTGAGCACTGAATTTCATCCAGAGGTTGTGAGGCACTGGACTTCCAAGTTTCAGCAAAGGAAGGATGATTTTGAAATTAAAGCAGACAAATACTGCCTGGGAGAAATGGATTTACCATCTCTGACAAGCAGTGTTTGCATGACACTGGGCTAGTTGCTCCAAGTGAAATACCCCAGGGAGCCATTCTACTTGCCTTACTTTTTTTTGGGCACTCAAATTCTTGGCTATTGATTCAAAAACTGTGGACCAACATAGATTTGTAACACTGTAAATTTGGCTAGTTTGCTCAGGACTGACTGTTCTGTTTTCCTTCAGAAGCATTCCTAGGGTGGGATGGCTTTGGTTGCATAGATACCACTGTCTCAAAAACACTGAGAAAAGAAGCCAAGATTCTAAAATTTAGTTTACACTTTTGACAGTTTTTATCTGAATGTCTGTTAAGGTGGCAAAATTATCACTCTCTCCAGCTTTTTTTCTGTCTGCATCCTGAGCTGACTGTAAGAATTTACTTCTCTGCAGATTTACCTCTGATATTTTCACAGGCTTAGGTTGACCACCACCAATCTGCTCTTTGTGCTCTTTCTGCACCTTTTTAAATAAAGCATCTCCTCAAAATGTGTGGGAAGAGAGGGAAAATGTTTGCCACAAAAGAAATCCAAAATGGTGTTGATTTTAACAGTGCACCACACACCTTAAAAGAAAGAACAATGCTTCAAAATTGTTCAACAATCTAGAACAAGTGTTACCAGAGCTTCATTCATAGCAGGACAAACTGGGCTTCAGATGAAGAAAGCAGAATAACCAAAGTATCTGCAATAAACACGTTCCAAAATGGAGTGCTCGATGTGTGCCTTGCACAGATGAAGTTCTGTGCTGGGAAAATTCCTGCGCTGCTTTATAATTTCTGCCAGAGAGCTGCTGATCAGAGACTGGTAATGCCCAGCAAGCACACAGCTTCTCCCTGCAGTCTCATTGCCCTTGCAGGCAGTGCTGTGATAATTCACACTCCTGGCCCAGGACATGAGGAGAAATTTTCCAATCCCTCAGCAACTAAAGACTATAGGACTGTGTAAGAGTTGTGTAACCCTTCCCTATCACTCAGAAGTGGACCCTCCCATTGCTCCTGGTGATGTGCAACCTCTAGGATCCTTTCCTTCTGCTGATAGGAAGGGCCATTAAAGGAAGATGGGCTGTGCAGAGTTAGGGAGGAACATGGTGAAATCCCCAGTTCTAAGCATGCAAATGCTGGCTTGTAGTCCCACCACAGCTGGGAAGGCCCCTTTTGCTTCTATAGTCAAGAAAATAATCTTGTTCTGTAAACTATGGGTAAAATTGAACTGTTCATAATTTCCTTTTTGAAGGTTGAATATTAAAAAATGTCCCAGAATTCTTCTATTTATCATAAAGAAGGATATACAGACATGCTGAAATTAGCTCCTGACTCCAGGTATAAGTGCATACCAAAGCTTTGTAGATTACCCTAAGTAACCCACTACATCTAGTGCTTAAAAAGCTATAAAGTATTTAAAGTCAAAGCAAGAACAGTTATGCTCTTGTTTCTGAGGTGCTGGTGGATGCACACTGTATTAAATCTACTGTTCCCTGCTTTAAAACCACCTGCCAGTCTCCACAACATAAAAGCATTAACAAACCACTACAGACAACTCCAGACACATTACCTTCCTTTAGCTCTTCCCTGTGTGCAAAATATTATAATAGTACTACTAAGAAGGCTGCTACAAAGTTAAATTTATGAATGTTTTGAAGGAGTTATAAGACTACCACAGGAAAGTCATCATGGAAATTAATTAACCTGCCTTCAAGGCAGGGTTTGAAGAATGTACAGAGAATATGACATGAAAGATTCCACTTTACATGATGAAAATGAAGAGAAACATTGAAGAACTATACATTAATTAAAGACATCCTTGTATTGAATGAGGCAGGAGTCCTGTGGAAAAAACCACTCTGCAAAGGTAATTTAAAAAGTGATTCATATCACAAACAACATACAATACTGTAGGGGAGGGCTTTGTCTTTGGAGGTCTCATGTTTTCTGTATAGTTCCTTAAGTTTTCTTTAAAATCTCCTTTTTATATTTTTTCCATGGCATGACTGCAGATCTGAATGCTGTGAACCAACTATCAGAGGAAATTAGAGTTGTAGGAGAATACTTCTTTCTCCATGTGACATGCTGTGCTTATGGCTTCATGACCACTTGAGAGCCAGCACTTGGTGGGCTCCTGTTCCTCGGGGCAGATTCTCCAGTGCCCCCATCTCCTTTCAGCCACTGCCTGAATATCCTCCCTCCCTCCCTCCCTCCCACCCCTTTCTCCAGTTTCTGGCCATAATCTTCCATCTTTTCATCCCTCACATCCATTCTCTGCTGTCCTGTTTCCCAGTCCTGGAAATTCATCCTCTGTGTTTCCTTTTCCTCATTACTAAGCCCATATATCTTGCACTGAGACCAGCTGTTCTTTCCCATGTGTTCATCAAATGCCAACAGGCTGAAGATTAATTACTGTCACAGGAGATTCTTCCTTCTTTTGGTTTTGTTGCCAAAGGAGCCCCTGGAAATTAGGAGGAACAGCTACAGTAAGAGAGGTGGGGTTTTCCTTCTGTAATGTGGCCAAAACTGTGCAATTTAATATTTAGACAGGTAGAATAATAAGTGGAGCCCCGTGATATAGGGTTAGTGGGAGAAACAGTTGAAATGAAAACATCATTTGGCACTTTCAAAATGTGGCAGAGTTATAAGCAATGAAAATTACATATTTCATTGATAAAGCAACATTAGGAATAATTATTACTATATACACTAGAAACCCTAAATCTTTGTGGCTAAATTTTATTGAGGTGTGTGAACCCACACATGACAACACCAATGTCTAGATGGAAGAATTGCTGCCCACCACTCCAACAGAAAAATTGCCTCATAGGAAATAGGAGACACACCAGGAAAACCAAAGTAAATGCTGTCCCTCCTTCCTCTCATATTGACTATGGTCTGTACTTTCAGGCGAAGAATATAAAGATAACATAATTGCTTGGCAAAAAGAAGAAAACAAAAAGAGTAAGAATAAAAAGTGGAAGGGTTAAATTTATCTTACATTTAAATTTTGGTAAATTGGCAGTGAAGATGGGTCAGTAAGGGGTTTGGCATATAACCCCAATTCTGGCAACGTTTTGAGCAGGAGCTGCCCCAACGCCGCAAGCCCTGGGGCTGTGTGCCCTCCCCTGGCACTGCTGTGTCCCAACACGGTCCGGAAACACGAAACCAGTAATGGGGGAGCAAAAGAAGCACACAAGGTGTGTGTTAAAATTTTGGGGAGGGGAGTTAAACCGCTAGTATGCGAGTGATGAGGAGAAACAAAGATTATGTTAATTTCTCCCCTTCTAACACCGAGTACAAAGTGGTCCTGCCGCTGCAGGGCCAGCCTGGCCCGAAGGGAACCGGGACCGCAGCCGGATGGGGAGGACACGGCTGTGCCTTTCCCCGGCGCCATTGATTCACCCGAGGCTGCACGAGGCTGCAAACAGCGGGCGCAAACACCTGGATGGAAAAATCTGGGAAAACGGCCGGATCGGCCCGGAAAGCAGGAGAGAGCTCGTTGTTCGGCTCTGGGGGATAACCCGAGTGAAGGTGC